TTTCCCAACTTCTCCAATGCATATCTTGCTCAATTTTGATCATATGAACATGTTCTCTGACATTTTGGAAAGGTCTTGAAGTCCTCTAACCAATACCTTTGGTCCCATGTCATTTTTATTTACCAATATCAAGTTATGGTCTTTGACTTAAAATGCCTTTTTGTTGACTTTTAAAAATGACCTATAATGTTGAAATTGATAACTTTTTGTGAGAGCATTTCTTGGACTTGGAATGTGAAGATGAGTTGTAGGAAATGTCATCCCCTTAAAAATGAGCATTGGATGGGATTTTTCTGATGAACCATGAAAAAGTTATGCCTTGGTCAAGTTACAGTTGACTTTTCAGCTGTCCAAAAATAGAAACTTTTGCATCTTGATGATTTTTGAGCCATTCTTGTGAAATCATGATCAAGACTTGATCAAATGATTATTGTGGCTCCAAAATAAGATGTTGACCAAAATTTTTGACTTTTGACTGCCAAATGACCATTTTGCCCCTACAGTTGACTGTTGAGCAAATGAGACTTTTGACTGTGCAACTTGACCTTGTGAGCCTTAAAACTTGACATGTAGGTGCTTGACAATGTGTATGAGCATATGTGACTTGATTGAGCCTTTGAAAACCTCAACTTCCTTGCAAGAACCAAAACCCTAGTTTGACTGGCTTAGGAGGGTGCTTGACTGTGTAGCCCTTGAGTAGACTTTGAACCATTTTAGGTGATGCTTGTCAAAACTTTGAAGAATATGGGAGGGCAAATTTTGGGGTACAACAACACTTGTTCGGTTTAGCAAGAGTCGCCACCGACTTTTTATTTTATCCTAAAGGAAAGGTTAAATTGTTCCAGAGCCATGAAAACCCTAATTTTGTCTGATTGACGAGAAAAATCTGTTTGACCGATTCTTGAGCCAGTCTGAAAAATCAGGAAAAGCTCGAAGCTGTGATTTCTTGTGGAAAAATACGAGGGAAAATTTTGGGGTACAACAATAATCCTATTTATGTAGTTTGATATCTCCCCCGTTCTGTTTGAATGTTGCCCTTTGTTGGTAACGTGTAGGTAACCAAGATGAGTAGCCGATATCATTGTTAGTTCTAGTTCGGTGTCATTTGCTCTGATACATAGCACTCGGGGGGAAATGAATGCTTGTCTTATTATGTTGTTTATTTATTGAACCTTATGTTGTTAATTGAGGAGTTTATTGTATTGATGTTGTTTTATGATTCAAAATATGCTATATCTTATTTAGAGAATTATTATGAATCCATTGCGTGATTAATCAAAGTTTGGTCTATGTTATGAAGACTATATTCATGAGTTGTGTTCATTCCTCTTCTTTAAGTGTTATGTATCTATTTTAAAAGTATGACAAGTTTATGTGTTTTTGTTGAATATGTGACATCCTGATTATATTGGAAATTTTTATACTCTGATTTTTCTGATAATTGCTTGGGATAGAATTGGGGTGTTATATTAGTGGTATCAGAGCAGGTCGGTCCGTTCGGCCAAGTTGTCTAATGTTGTTTGTTCCTTAGTGCGCGACAAGTGTGTGAAACATTGACGGTGCTTGTTGTTTTTCTAATCGAGTTGTATGCAGGAGTTGGGTTGAAGATAAGTGGGGGAGAAACTTTGCTTCTCAGATGTGTTTCGGTTGTAAGAGGTTGGTTCAGTATACTGTTGTTGGCGGCGGTGCAAGTATTATTGAAGTTTTGTTGTTTTCCGAATCTTAAGGTGTCATGGATTAAAGACTGTGTTTGTTAATCAAGTTGGAGCATCTCGAGGGAGGATGATCAGACATTGTTGATGTTTACATCTTAAAGGATGAGGAGCAATGTAACAGTTGTTGATATACGAGTAGAGTGTAAATCCCTGATATTTCTGAAGGTGATTGTTAAGTAACAACGATAATTTTAGAAGATGGAATTTAGAAAGTTATGACGTTTCAGCACTACTGGTGGACTGTGAAGTTATCGGTTTGGATAGTCCTTGTGTAAGATGTCGATGGTTGAATAGTGATAGAGTGACAAACTGCTGTAGACCGTGTTGTTGAATCCTTGTAAGTGATCGTAAAAGTTGTTGAAGTTGTTGGAATGTTTTGAATCGCTAGTCGGAGTCGGAAATACAAGGAGATGAGTACGATTTCAAGAATGTTAAGTGTTGGTACTGGTACAAAGAAATTTTATTCTGATGTTATCCTAGGTGTGTAATAGTATGTCGCTGCATGACGTCCGTGTTCACATTTTCGGATAACTTTAGAAATTCATATCTTGTGTTCCGAGTATCAGATTGGTGTTCTGTTTGAACCTGTAAGGAGATAGGAATATATTCTATCATATGAAAGTGTTTTAAAATTTGGTTGATGCATTCCCATATGGCGGAACTCTGAAGTCGTTTGCAGAACTAGAGGCTTTTTGGGCATAAGTGATTATTATCGTAGTTGTTTGAGACGAGGTCAAGCATAATATGTTGTTGGCGAATAAGTTGGGAAATGAGATGTTCGGCATTAAAAAGGATGATCGTTCATAATTTAAAGTATGAGATGTTGCATGTGAAGAAAGTTTTGTAGAACTAAAGAAAAGATTGACGACTGCTCCAATATTGGTTTGCCTAATCCGAGTGAGTCATTTGTAGTGTATTATGAATGCGTCTAAGATGAGACTTAATGGTGTTTATATTGAAGATTTGGAGACATTGTCTTTTTGGTTCTAGATTTGAAGTATTTAGAGACCATAAGAGTTTAAAGTATTTATTTGATCAGAAGGAATTGAATAGGAGACAACGAAGATGGTTGGAGTTATTGGAAGATTATGATTTCAGTTTGAATTATCATCCAAGGTAAAGCTAATGTGGTGGTTGATGCATTAAGTCAAAGGACTTTACATATGTCGGCAATGATGGTTAAAAAATGGAATTAATTGAACAACTCAGATATGTGAGCTTAGTTTGCGAAGTGACACCGAAGAGTGTTGTGTTGGGAACGTTGAAGATTAACAATGATTTTCTGGACAGTACCAAAGAAGCTCAGAAGCTAGATGTGAAATTGGTAGATTTGATAGTTGGACTCGATCAGTCTGAGAATGATGATTTCGAGTTAGATACGCAGGGTGTGTTGAGATTCCATAATCGAATTTGCATTCCTGATGATGCAGAGATGAAGAAAGTAATTCTTGAATTGGAGAATACTTAACCTTCGTGTGAGGCTAAGTGAGTGTAATGTGGACCGTGTAATATGTTGAGCGTTGGTGTCTCATCGACAAAATCGAATGAGAGGGAAATTGTGGAAGTATTTGTAAACCTCATTGGAAATTATTGGATTATGGTGCGTTAGGTGACTTGAGTACAAGTTCTAAAGGAACACTATTATAGTTCGGTAACGATGGTTTATACTCCATTATGATTGTCGGATATCTATTGGCAAATTGAGGAACTGATCACCCTTAATCTCTTGTTGATAATAGACGAGATCGTGTTGGATGGTATAGACTTGTATTGTTATCTTAATGGTGAGTGAAGTGATTGATGTATATCATGAGTGTGATACGGTGGCAGAACAGACTGTTAATACTGGTTTGCGTTTTTTGTTCGCAAATGTCGCGGTAAGCAAGAGTCGCTACCGACTTTTTTTTATCCAACAAAGGAAAGGGTGAAAAGAACAGAAAAAGACATTTTTCGATATTTTCTGAGTAAGGGGGGTAGATTATGGAAATGGAAGGTGTTAGCACCCTTTCCATCTGTGGTTTTCCACGGGCTCTTAGGTACTTGCTCATTTTGAAAACTATTTGTGTTTGTGTGTTTTTGAAAGATTTTGTTTGCTTTATGGTAACTCTTGTATCAGTCCTCAAGAGTGTGATAAAGCGTTTTTGAAAAGATTTTTGAAAGTGTGTAAGTGTAAACAATTTCAGGTTTGAGCAAGTACGTAAGAACTGTCTACCTACTCGAAAAAGGATGTTCTTTTCCTCTTTTCCTTTAGATAGTGATATCCTACTATTAGTGAGTAGGTAGCCTTATCGTTGAATCTTGAGGGACAATCGAAGGGACATTTTACAATCATGAAGGCAATTTATGGAGACGCTTTAGCAATTTTTCTTTTAGGGACTAGATCATTTATCGAAAGGCAACTGTAGGATCATCGAGGGACTATGATCTTTTTCTATTTATGGGTCTTTACTAAAGCGTTCCTGCCTCATGGCTGTTTTATTTAAAGGCAACCAAAGTGGGAAATACCTTAGAGGTGCGCATGTGCAAGTGTGTTGAGATTCAGTTATTTTTTTGTCTTTTTGTTAGGTTAGCTAACGTTTGATTATTAGTCTTTCCATACATGCCTAGTTACTAACAGTAATATATACAGAAAAATAAAATACATAAAGTATAAATCTAGACTATTACATGACTTTGGGGAGGGGGATTTACATTCCAAAGCAATTGAGAAAAAGAAAATAAAGCAATAAAAAGAGTCTACTTATCATCTATTACATCCCATACAATAATTACAATAATATAAACAATGCGAAAGGAAATAAACATGTGAAAAATTGAAAGTACGTCTAAAAATATTTAAAAAAAAACTAAATTAATGATTCTAAAGTCTATTTAAAAAATTAACTTAAGAAAAATAAACTAAACTCTTTTTGTAGTTTTTTATATTTATAAAAACTATTGATAATTATATATATATAAATTTTTTTTTATAAAAAACCAAACAAACCTCAATCACGTTAATTTGATTTAGTTTGATTCCATATTATATTTAAAAGCCAACAAAACTAAACTTAACCAGAGCTTTTTCTCTTGCAATTTGAATTCATCTTATCCAATTATATTGGTCTAAAAAAATATTGAAATACTAAAAAATATAATTTCTTGAAAGACCTTAAAAAACGAGGCATGGTTTCAGTTCCACCATCTATCAACCACCCAATTATTATGAGCGAAACTGTCCATACTCAGACTTCCTAATCTCTAAGAGTTGACTTGAAAACATCTCATCCAAGAAGACTGAGATCAATGCCTTCTTCATCCTCCTCCTCCACTCCTCAATTCCTCTACGACGTCTTCCTCAACTTCAGAGGCGAAGATGTTCGTCGTAGCTTCGTTTCTCAACTCTACAAGTCCCTCTCAGATGCCAGAATCAACACTTTTCTCGACGACGAGAAGCTTGAAAAGGGAACGGATCTGGAACCAGAGCTAATGCGAGCAATTGAAGCTTCTCGTATTTACATAGTGGTTTTCACCAAAGCTTACATCACATCTAGTTGGTGTCTTAAAGAACTTGTTCACATCATGAACTGCCGCAAAACTACTGGACAAATGGTTCTGCCTATATTTTACCACGTTGAAGCGTCCGAGGTGCGTCATCAGAAGGATGGTTATAGAAAAGCTTTGCATTCAACTGCAAAAAGAAGAACCTCTGGAGGTCAAAGAATGGAACATATGTTATCCAAGTGGACCAATGCACTAACCGAAGCTGCAACTATAATTGGATGGGATTTCAAAAATTTCAGGTTACATTCTTTTTTTTTCCTCTTCTTTTGGATTAAAAGTGAGCAAAACCTCAAATGATTTATGTAAAGTGAATTTAATGTAACTTTTAAGTGGAATCATATCTAGAGTGCAAAATCAATTATACTTTCCAAAAGTGGAGCCAAACATATGTTAGCGTGTGTTTGGTTATGCGGTGACCAGAATTATTGATTTTGAAGAAATAATTCCGGTTAAAAGTGAGTTGAATTTAGAATGAGTTATATTTGGATAGATCTTTGTAAAAGTGAGTTGAATAAAAAATTTTAGTATAAAAATCATGTTTAAACTCAAAAGTTATAAATTCTAACTTTAAGTAGAATCAATTTTGAAATCAGAATCAATTCTACTTTAATAAAACCAAACGTTTCAAAATTATTTTAAAATCAATTCTATATCTCTAAAATTGCTTTTGGCTTTTCTAAAAACCAAACCAAAAATACACTTGATGCGTGTTTTGTTCAGCGATGATGAAATTGATTTGTGAAATTGATTAAGGTTAAAAGTGAATCGAAGATAAAATGATTTGTGTATACATAAATTCTTACAAAAGTGAGTTGAAGAGTATACTCTGAGTTGAAGAGTATACTTTAGAAAAATAAAACAGGTCAAAAATCAATTATACACCTTTAATATGAGTTGGTTCTGCGGCGAGAAGAATTGATTATAAGTGAATTGATTTTGTATAATTGATTTTAATTAAAAGTGAATTTGATGTAAAGTTATTTATGTTTGGATATATTTATGTAAAAGTGAGTTAAATAACAAATTTCAGAGTAAAAATTATATTTAAACTCAAAAGCTATAAATTATAGCTTGAGGTAGAATCAATTCTGGAGACAGAATTAATTCTATTTTAGAATAAACAAACATCTCAAAATCATTCAAGAATCAATTCTACACTCAAGAATTGATTCTAACTCCTCCAAAAGTGGAACCAAAGATACACAATTATTTTTGAAGCTCCAAAAGTAAAGCCAAACATAGAGTAGCGACATCATCTAATTGGTTGTTGAATAGTGTACCAAACTTTTTCTAGTGGCAGGGAAGTTGTAGCCTTTTCATTTATTGCGGAATGAAGCATAGTCCTCAGCTTATAATAATCTTTCAAATAATTATATTTATATTCATTCTTTGTGTTTTATTGAAGGAATGAAGTTGAGTTAATTTCTGAAATAGTTAAAGATGTTTCGAGAAAGCTAAAAAGCAGATCATTGAAAATTACCGAATTTCCAGTTGGATTGGATAGCCGTGTGCAACAAATGATTCAGTTTATTGAAAATCATTCAACCAAGGTTTGCTTGATAGGGATCTGGGGTATGGCTGGCTCTGGTAAAACAACAACAGCCAGAGATATCTACAACAAATTTAATGACAAATTTTTAGATCACTGTTTCATTGGAGATATTAGAGAAGTCTGTGAAAGAGGTGTTGGAGGTGAAAGAGGTGTTTCATTGCAGATCACTGTTTTACAAGAACAACTTCTTTCAAGTGTCTCGAAAACAAATGAAAAGATACATAGCACTCTAGACGGGATAGCCACAATTGAGAACAGATTTATGGGAAAAAAGGCACTTGTTGTACTCGATGATGTGAGCACTTTGGAGCAAGTAAAAGCCCTATGCGGAAACAGTAAATGTTTTGGTTCGGGAAGTGTATTGATTGTTACATCCAGGGATTTGCATATACTTAAGTTACTTGAAACCGACCGTATCTATAGTATAAAGGAAATGGACCAAGGCAAGTCCCTTGAGCTTTTCTGTTGGCATGCTTTCAGAAAAGCCAGTCCTATAGAAGACTTCCGTCAGCTCTCAAATGACGTAGTTGCTTACTGTGGAGGATTACCACTGGCTCTTGAAGTCATTGGATCTAACTTGCGTGACAGGCCAGAACAACACTGGAAATATGTACTATCACAATTAGAGAGAATTCCAAATGATAAAGTACAGGACAAACTCCAAATAAGCTATGAAGGTTTAGAGGATGATCTTCAAAAGGATATATTTCTTGACATTTGTTGTTTCTTTATTGGGAAGGACAGGGCCCATGTTTCAGAGATTCTAGATGGCCTTGGACCTTATTCTGATGTTGGAATAACTGTCCTCATAGAGCGCAGCCTCCTAAAAGTCGAAAAGAATAACAAGCTTGGAATGCACGGTTTGCTACGAGACATGGGAAGAGAGATTGTTCGTAAAGAATCAAAGAAAGAGCCTGAGAAACGTAGTCGATTGTGGCTTCACAAGGATGCACATAAAGTATTGACAGATAATAGTGTAAGAACTTTCTCTGTATATAATTTGAAACTTTTGATCATCTTCCATCACCTTATAAAGATTATTTGTTCATTTGTAATTGTACCACTCTATTATTAATATAGACTGCAAATTGTTAAATGCATGATCTGAGTGTGTTTGCATTGTAATGTTCAATTACTCATTGCAGGGAACAAAAACGGTGGAAGGATTGGTTATGAATTCCCAAAGCACCAGCAATGTTTGCTTCAAAACTGATACATTCAAGGAGATGAAGAATTTGAGACTTTTAAAACTTCATCATGTTGATCTTATCGGAGATTTTAAGCATCTTTCTCAAGAACTGAGATGGCTCCATTGGCAGGGATTTACTGGTGAATGTATACCCGGTGACTTTTATCCGAGAAATCTAGTTGCTTTTGAGTTTAAGCACAGCAATATTAAACAAGTTTGGAATGAAACAAAGGTGATATGTAGATATTTTATTTTGAAACTAAAATTTGATATCACTAGTGTTGAAAACTCTCAATGTAAATTTCATTTTTATTTTAAACATTTATCTTTTTGCAGTTGATGGAGAAGCTGAAAATTCTCAATCTGAGTCATTCCAAGTACTTGACAAGCACTCCTGACTTTTCAAAATTACCAAATCTAGAAAAGCTCATTATGAAGGACTGTCCAAGCTTGTCTATAGTACACCAGTCAATTGGGGATCTGGGGAATCTTCTTCTGATAAATTTTAAAGATTGTACAAGTCTTAGCAATCTCCCAGAGAAGATGAATCAATTGAAGTCTTTGAAATCTCTCATCCTTTCCGGTTGTTCAAAGATTGATAAGTTGGAGGAAAGCTTAGTGCAGATGGAATCCTTGACGACACTGGTCATAAAAGATACAGGTGTGAAAGAGGAGATGTATTCAGCAGTAAGATCAAAAAGCATCGGATATATATCTCTTTGTGGATATGAAGGACTATCATTTGATGTTTTTCCTTCTGTTATTTGGTCTTGGATGTCACCAACAATGGCTATGTCTTTAGCTTCCATCAATGTACAGAATAATAACTCGGGCTTTCTAACACCAATCGTTAGGAGCCTTTCACAACTCAGAACTGTTTGGATACAATGCAACTCAGAGATTCAACTAGCCCAAGAGTTACAAAGAATTCTACATGATATTAATCGTACAGATTTGGAAGACTCGCTAGTCTCAAATCATTCCTTGAAATCACATTTGATTGGAATGGGAAGTTGCCACACAGTCATGGATACTCTTTGCAAGCGCATACCACAGGTTCCTTCTCTATCCTTTTCGGCTGTTTTGTTTCAACTAACTTCCTAGTTTTAATAGCATAAGTGCATAAATAACTACACATATGCTTATGATACAGGAATTAACAACCAATGATTCAAGCAATTTTTTCCTTCCGGGTGGCAATTATCCTTCTTGGTTAGCCTATACAAGTGATGGTCCTTCAGCACCATTCCATATCCCTAAGGATATTGATTGCCCCATGGAGGGAATAGTCTTACGTGTTGTTTATTCATCAACATCTGAATCCATGGCAGTTGAATGTCTTACTAGCGTCATGATCATTAATTACACAAAGTGCACCATCCATATATACAAACGAGACACAGTTGTGTCCTTTATTGATGAAGATTGGAAGAATGTAACATCAAATCTAGAACCTGGTGATGAAGTCAAGATGTATGTGGTTCTTGGGCATGGATTGATTGTTAAGAAGACAACTGTTTTTCTAATATATGGCCAGTCAGTTATTATGGAAGTTGATTCATCGATTAAGATGGAATTGAATGTGCAGCCGCAGCCGTTACCTGAAGTGGACATGCAAGCATCATCTAATGTGACAGTACCAAAGGCCAATAAAAGTTTATTTTCAGGATTTGGAAAAAGAATGAGTGCATGCTTATGCTTGAATCAGCAGAGATAAAGATTTGAACAATTTTTTAATGGACATGCCTTTGTCACAAAGGATAATCCTTTATTTCAATGAATGAGGAAGGAGGAAAGTACTGTGTTTTATATGCATAAAAGGAGGGGAATTCATGTGCTTACTATTTGTTTCAATTAATGAGGTTATAAAGCAATAATGGAATATCTTCTCGAGCACGATAAATTTGGGTCCTTATTATTTCTTTTATGTCATTGGTGGCACTTATTTCTCTTTTATTCTAATTCATTTACATTGTTTGGTTCATTAATAGATTTTGTAAGTATGACTTTACTTGAGGTGAGTTGAATATATAGTAATTTATGTTTAAATATATTTACTTAAAACTTAAAAGTGAATTAAAAATAAATTTTCATGTAAAAACTACACGGATATTTAAAATTTATAAAGTCTAACTTCAAATTAAAATCAATTCTTGGGTGATAGAGTAACTCAACTATCTTGAACTAATTAAGCTAAGAGTTAAAACAAATATTAAAAATTAACTATTAACAATTTATGTAAGACAAAATTATCTCAGGATCATTTAAGTTATTTTATTGTAATAATTTGGTTCTTTATATTTTTTTCGCTACAAGTTAGGCATTTATGTTAACTAACGTCTACAACATTGATCTTATTCACAAAATCCGTTTCAAAAAAGTTGAGTTAGCACAAACGGCGTTGATGTGTCATTTAACAGAGTTGAACATGTAATTATTTTACTATTTTGTGTATTTCTGGAGAAAAAGAAGATAAACATGAACCCAAATCAAAGGACATACGTGTTAGAACAAAGAGTTTTCAAGAAAGATGATTTATGAAAGAGAAGAAGGAGGAGGAGGAGGAGGAGGAAGAGAGAGAGAGAGAGAGAGAGAGAGAGAGAGAGAGAGAGAGAGAGAGAGAGAGAGATCGTTGTGATTCTAACTAAATTGTAAACTTGAATTGTGATTGCATTGAATATTGTGTAAAAATTACAAACTAACAAGCCCTTTATATAGACATACAAAGCCCGTGCTCAATTCGACTATATACAAAGATGTTGTATTCGACGCTGTCGAATACAACTGACAATCTACCAGCACTAGCTAATCGACATACATCTCATACAGACATTTCGGCAGAATATGAATTACACCTTCTAGCACACCCCCTAATTCATGTTCTCTAGACTTCTCATCATGATGCCTCTCTTTAAATCGTCGAATCTGACTTTCTTCAGAGGTTTGGTGAATATGTCAGCTAGTTGCACTTCTATCTTGCTGTAAGTGTTTGTTGGCAACAATTTTGGTAAAATAATATTTTGATAATGTTTTGTTAAATGTCTTGACATTTGCAGCAAACTGTTTTGAATGATGTCAAAGCAGATGTCTTGATATCTGCCTCCTGAACTGAACGCAACACATATTAGTTTAAATTTTCTGTTTCCTGTTTTCATGCGCGCCATAATTCAGGATTTGTGACTCATAGCTTGCGAAAAATATGGAGGAATATTTTTCTATTTGAATTATCCTTATGGATTATATCTTGACATGTTTTCATGGAAATATTCAAAAGATTGTGTTGTACCCCAAAATTCGCCCTCTCATTTCATCAACATTTCTCATCACAAGACTCTTGGAACTCAAGATCAAGTTAGGGTTTGCACTGCTCAATACTCCTCCTTGCACAGTTGACCCAAATTAGGGTTTGAGGTTGCACAAAGATGTTTTGACCTAAAATGCCCAAAATGACTTTCATGCTTCATGTGGAACTCACAAGTTTACCCATACCAAGTTTCAAGCCTTGATTCCAATCTTTGCCCAGTCAATTGGACAGTTGACCTAAAAATCAGCTGTATTGGGTAAAAAGTCAACTGTGGCCAATTGACAGTCAAACTTCATGTTTTTTTGACTCACTTCAACATATGAACCCATATGGACCATTTGATCAAGTTTGGATTACAACTCCACAAGAAATTTGATCAGATCACTAAAAGGGCAAAATGGTCATTTTTAGGGTTTTGACTGCACAAAGGAAATTTTTGACTGTTTGACCTAATCAATGGCAAACCAAGCTCACATATGGACTCAAGGAACCAATGGCATTGTCTTGACATATTCAACAAGTTCAAAAGATCCCAAATGCACAGGATTGACAGATGAATTTTTCAGTCAACTGATCAAAATTTGACTGTATACTGAAAAGTCAAACTTTGACTTTTTGGTCAAAATCAAGTGTCAAGGTTCATTTTTCATCAAGACATGTCAAATTATGAAACTTGTTCATCAAGAAACCAAAAATTGCAAATTAGGGTTTAAAATGAAATTTCATAACTTAGAAATTTTCTAAGTTATGAAATTTCCTAATTTTTTCCTAACTTTGTCCCATTTTTTCATCAAGATGCCAATGGATCCAAACAAAACTCAAAACATAAAAGTTGTAGTCTATTGCAAAATCTACAACTTTGATTCACAAAGTTTTCTCAAAAGAAGCTTGTAGCTCAAGTTATTATTTTTGGAATAGGGGTGCAAAACATTCTTAACTTAGAAAAATTTTGACCTATTTTAGGCAGGATTTTTGCCCAACTTCATGGCCACTTTTCACATGCTTCCACTTGGAATTTCAACTTGCATTACAAAGATGGATTGTAGTACACATTCCAAGATTTCCAAATTGTCCAAGAACTTCTCAAACACCCTTGTGGTTAGGGAGAATCGAATTTGTAAAGATGGGCAAAAGTCACTTTGTTCATAAGCCAAGACATGTTCATACACTTTGCATTTTCAAACTCAGCATGGTTCAAGCTAGATTACAGGCCTCTAATCCCATTCACACTCAATAATTAAGTGCAAAACCATTGTGTTCAAGCATTGTTTTATGCATTAAGCCATTACACAAAGAATTAACCTTTAAATGGAAAAAGTAAGTTTGCCATTTTAGAAAAGCAATGCTTTATGTCAAAGTCCATATCTTTGAAGTACAAGCAAATCTCTGAGGCACATGTTTGTGGACATATCCCACTGATCAAGAAGAGAAAATGCAGCATGCTTGAGGGGCCTGTATTGCCCTATAACCCAACTTGACTATCCTTGCTTAAAAAGAAGAAAACTTGCAAACAGAACCACAACTCTCATGCCTGCAAAGAGGAACTAAAACAAACTTTGTAAACACATTTCAGACTCCCTAACTGACCTAAAGCACGACCAAAATACCCTTGATCCCTCCTCATACAGAAAATCACCATTTTTCTGCAAGAAACAGGGCATTCTGCATTTTGACTTGGCCAGCATCATTCACTCGTGCGTTTTTGCCCAAACAAGTTCCAATACACTCCATACCATCCATTGAAGTTGTCCCAAGCCTTAGATACAAGCTGTAACATCCATAGCCAAGTGTGCCATTTTCACTTTTCTCTTTTGCAGGTTGACTTCCATAGCTTGATACAGTTAGATTCAAAGCAAGCTAAGTGTTGGAGAATGTTCCTGGGACCTCAAGCAAGCTGTACAAGTCCTCAAACACCATTGAAGTTGGCCATATTACCCTGTTCGAGTCAAGCTGAAACAAGTAAAATGTGAACTTCTATCTCTCTATCCAAGCATATTTAGGCTTAAGTTTGTGAAGAAAGTATGTTCTACTCATAGCCATGAAACTATCCATGTAGTTATTTTTCATTTATATTGTGTGTGCTGTGAGAATTTTGAGCTTAAACATGGAAGAAAAGCTAGGTCAGAAATTGGGGAAGGAGAAATTCTCTCTCATTTCTGAGAGTTAGAACAACTTTTTTATATGTTTGAAATCGTGACATGATGCTCTACATTATTGATGTTGTAAGTTTTTGTTAAAAGTCAAGGAATCAGGATCTGTGTTTGACAAGGAGAAGCGCGCGTTTTTGCTTCTGTTTGAATGGCTGGAGGTTGAAGACAAGCCACTTGGGCTGGGCCTGAGTTGTTTTTTCTGTTTGCACCACTTTTTTCCACCACTTGTTTCCACTTACACCCCCTTGGCCCATTGTGTGATATTTTAATTATTTTTGACTTTTTATTTTTTCTTCTGACTTGATATTTTTTGTCAAAACATAAAAAATCATAAAAATATTTTTTCCACATTATTTTACATTTTTTGGCATTTATTTGCTTTGTTAAGCATATGTATATAAACAAATATATATACTTTTATTTAAAATACTAAAAAATAATACAAAATATATATTTTTTTAGTTATTATTTTCTATTTACCTTTTGAAAACATTTTCTAAAAATATACTTTTTTTTGTAAATAATTAATATTTCATTTTGTGTATATTTAGTATATTTAATATATAATATAAATACTTATATATATTTATTAGAATACTTAGGTTAAAAACATGAAAATAATACTCTTTTATTTTTATTAATATTTGACATCAAAAAATACTTTTTATAATATACTTTTTATTTTTTGTATATAATTAATAAATATTATACATAATTAATAAGTAAAATACTATTTATTCAAAAATTAGGGTTTTACCCTAAAAACCATAAAAATATCAAAAATTAATCTTTTCATTTTTGTTTATATTTTACATTGAAAATACTTTTACATACATAAAAAAAACATTTTTGTGCATAATACATTTTGCATTTTTATTTGTGTTTATTCAATTATTGTACAATTTATTATTTGTCTATTCAATATGGATGTAATAGTTTAGGTTTAAATTTCTTGCTAAATATCCCCCATTCAAACATTTGTACCCCATCCCCATAATTATGCTGTAATAATTTAGGATTTTAATTTTCCGCATTTAAAAGCTTTCTAATTATGTCATGCTAGACCTAGGGTTTGTATGCAAAAATCAAATAACAAATAGCTTGACCTAATTCAAAGACAAAAAAGCATGAAAATGAACAACACCAATCACACTTGCACCCTTAGGGTTACTCCACTTGTTGCCTTCAAAAATGGGCCATGCTTGCATGTTAAGTATCTTTGGCGAAACAAAACAAATCAAATGATCATAGTTCCTCGATGAC